TGTGCAACAAGCCCACTGGACAGCGAAGCACCGCGTGTCGCACTCAGATCGGTGATTGATCATGTGGAGGTAGATCTCGGGTGAGCCGGCGTTATCCATCACTGTCTGTAGGTCAGATCCTAATCCAGATCACGTATTCCCCCTTCACCGTAGTCATCGTTGCTGGGGGTGGGGTTGGAGCCACCACGGGGTGAGGAGGGGTACTGTTGGGGTGGGATTTCCTGGGATCACTCATCAGATTTTTTAGCTGGGGGCACTGGTGGCCTAGTCGTCTAATGCGCGGCAATTCGCTGTCAGGAGTTGTGTCCCTTAGGCATGCCAGGATCCTATTATGACGTAAAACTTTCATCAAACATTGAAGCTGAGATAGCTGCAATATTATCCAAAGCGGCAACACGCCAAACTCGTTCAATCACCGCTTTCTTCACTGGATAGTTTTGTTTGTTTGTTTGTTTATTTGTGGTACAACGCCGCACTCAGCAATATTCCAGCTATATGACGGCGGTCTGTAAATAATCGAGTCTGAACCAGACAATCCAGTGATTGACATCATGAGCATCAATCCATGCAATTGGGATTTTACCCCGGCTCTTCACGGGTCCTCAATAGGATAGGGCGAATGTGCATGGTTTAACGCAATATTCTAAGATTATCACGGCGAAGAACACAAAGGGCTGTCTTCACACATGATACTAGTATTTGGAATCGAACCCGGGTCTTCGGCGTAAAAAATGAACGCCAAGGCTTGATATCACATTTGTATATAGTCTCTGGAAGAACATGTTGGCAAGATTCCCGACATGGGTACAATGTGTGAAGCCCATTTCTGGTGTCCCCCGCCGTGATATTGCCGGAATATTGCTAAAAGCGGCGTAAAACCATACTCACTCACATGTTGGCAAGTAAAGCCAAAGGTCATTCCGCTAAGTGGACATGACAAGTGACCTCTGTATGGAAGTGGAAACTGGACAAAGAGTGGTATTGTGACGCTAAGTTAATATGGCTAAGGTTAAGGGGATCCGGTCATCAACCTTGACAACAACGTATCAGAAACACGGCTTATTCACGGCTATAAAGGCTTTCCGTCAGATAAAACAGCTTGAACCAGTCCTTCAAATCACATGACAAGGGTTGCCTTTCAGTGTTCTAATCCAATCACGTCTGTGAACGGATTACACATAGAATTATCCAAAACCTTGATTCGGTGAGTTAAACAGACATATGAAGGCCAGATTACACCGTCACAATTTCTTTTTACCTTTTAAAACCAATTTTTGTTTTCTTGTTGCATGAGGACTAAATGATAAGGTCTTGGCATGTCAATTTACAATTTTTAACGTTGGTTATAACTCTGACGGTTGGATTATATGGCTGTAGTGTTGATCAATACTACCGCTTGTTCAAAGGGATCTTACATTAGGTTGCAGTGTGACTTGGTGTGACAGTGGTTTATAACTTGGTTTACGGACCTGCCGACCCGATACTTCACAAATGTAAAATAAAATTTAAATTTTAAGAGGTATATTTTATTTTGCCGAGCCTGTTCATGTCAGTAATAAACCCCTATATGTAGATCGATGTGGAATCTTTGACTTGTGCCTCTGAGATATATTTTAGATACAGCACATTTTGTTTCATCTAACCGACCATAGTTTAGCTCACCTGACTAATAGTCCAGTGAACCTGTGTCATGAGATGCGTGTCAGGCGCCCGGCGCCCGGCGTCCGGCGTCCGGCGTCTTCTGTATGGGCATCATCTCCCCAGAAACCAATGAAGCCGGAACTTCACATCTTTAATTCTAACAATGATGACACCTATATTTGTGCAAGCGGTTCGAATCCGACATTCAATATGGCCGCTACGGCAGCCATTTTGAAAAACCTATTTATAGCTGTTTACACGGCCATTTATGAACAAAATGTAATAAAATGTGTTATATGTATTGTTAGAAATGGGGCTTAACATGTATGCGATAGACATTCGGTGTCCCAGAAACCCAAAACGAGTATTTCGTTCTCCTTTTTCTCAAAATCTGTTGACCTAGAACTGTTTGTCTCCATAAAGGTTTAAGTGTTTTAAAATCAACATAATACAAAATATAACATAATGTTGTTTTTGTTGCAGATTAAGGCACCTTGTTGAAATTAATTTCTTGTTCCATATTTATCGATTAGTCGTCAGTATTTATGATTAAATTATATAACAGCAACTTCTGTAAGTGGCTATATATCCAGGTGAGCTACATTGCAGTGACACTATTTTAAATTTATAAAATATTTCTTTCTTCACATTTTGATCTAGGACTTTGAAACAGATCTCGGTACTAACTGAAAAAGGTAAGACAATGATAGTCGCTCAGGTCACGGTTCCACGAAACGAACTTAGCGCTAAGACCGTAATCCAACACTTTAACAATAACTCACGACAGTCGCAGCGCTAAGATAATAACAAGACCCTTCCCAGTGAATCTTCACTCAAAAAGCCGGAATACCTTCATACCTTTTTGTTCAAATATGTATTAATTATAACTAACTGTGTTTAGAAAGCATTAGCCACATGACCCGTGAAGATCCTGGGTAAAATAGGTCTTTTGCAACCAAGGCTTGCCGTAACAGGCGACTAACGGGATCGGGTTGTCAGGCTTGCTGACTTGGTTGATGCATGTCATCGATCCCAATTGCGTGGATCGATGCTCATGATGTCAGTCACTGGATTTTCTGGTCCAGACTCGATTATTTACAGACCGCCGTCATATAGCTGGAAGTTGCTGAGTGCGGCGTTAAACAACAAACAAACAAACAAACAAACCTATAAACACAATTTTACTTCACGTGTTGAGTCATGCCTGTATGCAAAATAATTTGTACTTGATTATGCCTGTTCAAAATGCGATTGTTGTGTTATAATAAATATAAAACATTCTCTTGTGGTCCATTTCTGGCAACGGAAATGCATCTGTCTTGTACATTAAAAACATGTACCTCACATGTACATGAGGGCCGGTCGGGTAGCCTAGTGGTTAAAGCGTTAGCTTGTCACGCCGAAGACCCGGGTTCGATTCCCGACATGGGTACAATGTGTGAAGCCCGTATTTACAGACCGCCGTCATATAGCCGGAATATTGCTGAGTGTGGCGTTAAACAACAAACAAACAAACACACATTAGCCACATATATGAATTAGGTTACAATCAATACAAGATAAAACACGAGCTTCTGGATCGAAACATCAGAGAAACTATAACTGTCAATATTATGTTTCTTGCACACGCTATATGGCCATTATAAACTTTATAAACCACGTTGCTACAGCGAGAGTATTTGACATGGGAGTGTTGCCCGGTATATCCCGTGAATAACTCCCAGGTCTGTGATCCAAGTTCCTATTGAGCAAGTTCTATCAGGGGAGATAATTGTCTTCATCACGGCATCGGCTAGTTCACTCGACGCTGTATCAGATGGGGCACGTTTAAGGTTTAGAACCAAGATTTTATTTGAAAAATAAGGCGAACTGTGTTTGGGAGGAAAGCCCGATGTGATGCAGGTATCAGACGTTTACCACTTCGGAGAAACCCACGAGGACGGATATAGTGCTGACAAACATAGAAACATAATTTGGGCGAATTCTGGATTCGAACCCATGATCATAGGATCCTTGCGAGCTTAAGGGACGTAACCCTGCACCGCGCCTTAGACAACTAGGCTGCCCCTTGCCCCGTTACCATGAACGTTTGTTTGAGAGGTCAAACATTTAAGTGCCGCATCTAGTGGGACAACCGACATCTCATGAAAAATATTAACTTCGATCAGAAGCTATAACACATACACTTACTGGTGTCGTAAGAAGAAATGTAAACTAATATAATCAAATGAAGTTAGCCTGTCAAACAAACTCTTCGCCGTTCATTCCACGTTAAGATATGTACTCTATGACACTCTGTTTGCCCTTAATGAAGTTCAGGGATTGAATGCTTATAGATTTTTTTGGTTAGAACTTTTTCAAAACCGGTCACTATATCGTGGGATAGAAGTTTATCATCACAAACTGTGTTGAAATATTTGACAACCAGAGACTATTAATTGTAACGGCGGTGTTATATCAGTGTGATCCTTCATCAGAACGCAACACGTGGGTCTGAAACTTGTGATTAGAAAATATAACTGTCAAAATGTAATACAGATTAATATGAGTCAATTTCTTTGGCAAATGATTTCTTTGAATACTTATTTTAAAGACGTATATCCATTTGATGGAATTGATAAATTTTATCTATAAATCTACAACATCTGCTAAAATGAAGAGCAATACAAACTATACTTCTGCGTTGATTTTATCCGAGTCGTATGTTTGATTTTCTTTTTAAAATATCTTAAGTAAGTGATATTATATCCAAGCAATAAACTGTTCTGTCGCTTAGTCAGCACATGGTTTTATTTTTTAAAACATAAACTTTTGCAGGAATGAGTGATGATTAACTAGACATGATCAAATTTAATAACAGTTCTTTCACTTTTCAATTACATTAAAAACAAACTAGGTAAACTTTCTTTTGACCCTCAGTTAATAACCATAACAATATATGATTAATGTTCCGCAGTTTAAAAAGAGAATGATCTCAATATTATGAAAAATCTGCAATCCAATGTATTGATGTAAAATTATTTTTTTTATATTATCATTTTTGATTGATGAGAACGTAAATAAAAACAATTAAACAATTATACAATTAAACCAATATTAATTCAGTACAAAAAACGTATGTGATTACGGTGTCTTTACGCAGTTCTGATCACACAAAAGACAACAAAGACCTTACATGTTACAAATAAAATAGATACTGATCAGACAAGGGAAACATAGATAGCAACGCTGTAATATAAATCTGTCGTTATAAAGACCGCCCCACGTATAGCGTGCTGGGCGTTAGCGCTGCTTCTGAAATGAACTAGTCGCTTAGGATCTCTCTACTTATTTGTAACCGTGTATGCTACAATTTGATATTAGTCAATGGTGGCAAGTCACAAAGGAAATAACAACGAATGGTTTACCGACAACCCCCGATAACCATCCTTACCTGGACAAGAATGTCGGCACAGTGACTGACAGTTGGACAATGCTACATAATGCTCGCTGAAAAGTTCCCATGCATTACAGTCTATCAAAATCACTTCAGTGCCAATCACTCATGCTGTCAGTTGAACTCGGAGCTATTAATGTGAGATAAAAGATGACTCAACCTCAAAAGGGCCTCTGTATGTATAGGGCGCTCAAGTCAAACTGGGCAAGGAAAGTGGGCACCGCTATGGTCTCCGTGGGTGAGGTTGTGACTGTTTCTCGTCTCTGTTAACTCTAGCATGGATACCGATATAGATACCATAGACCTAGAGGCAGAATCCTTCGATTACTGTAAGTATAATTGTGGTTTGAAATGTTGAATTTCGCCATCTTTGTACGAGAATGTCTTAAAACAAAACTCGAGGTTACAAGAGAGGCGTCTAAATTCCTTTCGAACTAAGAGTTGTTTTTTCTCAAGTAGAAGACAGCTATTTAATCTGGAATACGTAAGCATATATCATGAGAATCCAGTTAAACAAGAAATGAAAAACAGAATCGTGGTTTCAGAACGTTTGGTTAGTTTCTAAATATTTATCCCAATTTCGGGTCCTTTTGTAATGTTAGCGTCTGTGTTGAATAAACGTTGTTTTGGGTGAACGCCTCTTTGAACAGTATTTCAGTTATATCACGGCGTGTCAGCTTCATGTGGGAGGAAAGCCTGAAGTGATGCAGGTCTTTGACATTTACCATCAGCACTTGGGTGAAAACCATTCGAACATCAAGGTGCTTACAAACAAGGGTTAAAACAAGGTCGAGTCTGGGATTCGAACCCTCGATAATTCAATCCTGGCACGCCTTAGCAACGCAACTCTACATAGCCAATTTGAGGTACCTTAACCCACTGGGCCATCTATGCCCCTTTATAACAAGCAGTTATGTGTCTATGTATTTTGAAGTCCAAGTACGTTTATATGTTTATGGAAATACCAGAGAACAACGATATACGTACTCAGCGATACCCAAACTGGGCGATCAAAGAACAACAGACAGTATTTACTCTGGCCAATATCGATCTAATAAATGTGACCCCTACCCTATTGATGTCCAGGCTTGTTCTGATACCCCGACGGGAAATGTATTGGTTTTTGCCGGACGTGCACGGCTGTGGTCAAGGGTGCACGACAAACTCATTCAATGACAGACCTATTGATCTGGGCATATCCGCCGTTATTGCCACGAGTTACTTTCAATAGCTGATACTAAAGCTTACCCATAGAATAGTTTCGTGCGGACAGAAGGGCAAAAGCAGAAAATCAGATTGTGTAATTGATTAATTGTTTATGATTTCGATTCAATCCCAATCACAATAAGACAAAAATGGTTGACTCTGGGATATCATTGTTAAAGCATGGATCGTCACAATGTGTGAAGCTCTATCATGAAGACTCTAGCTGTCGCTGAAATATTGCATGGAAATATAAGCGTGGAAAACCATAATCACTCACTCACTCACAATAATGGTAAAGAATATATGCTCAAATCAAAACTCAAATAATGAAACAAATGTACACAAGCAAATACAATGCGAGTTAATTTAGGAGTTTAATGCAAAAATAAAATTGCCCTCTTCAGTTGTCCTCGTCTGAAATCTCCCATAAGCACGCCACACACGTAACGTTAAATAGCAGTGTAACAGGCTCTGTAGGTTCCAAAGAGCTTCAAAACAAACTCTGTATGTTTAGTGATGTTCCTTATCAAGTAACGCCACAGATTCTGGGGTCCATAAAGAAATGTCTGGTCAAACTCTGTGACCCATACCGTGGATCGTTTGTCATCCGTTGTCACTCTTTTGTCTCGTCCAGGAACTTGTGTTTGAGACATTAAGAATGTCCTAGGGTTCTTTTTTTGTTAAATAAGTTTTTTCCAGGATTTTCGGGAACAGCCTTTTTTTCAAAGAATTCCCATTCAGAGCTTGCCTGTCAAGCAACAACCTCCTTAACTCCACGTTGCCACGAATGTTAGGGTCGGAGGGTACCTGTAAAGACTGAAATGGACAAACGATAACTCGACATAGCTCAGTCGTCGTGGTGCCTTAGAGAGCTATGAATATCCTCTTGGTGTTAGTCTTCTGTGTGAGTATTTGAATGATAATGGGGACACATTCGTCTCGTTTGGACTAAAATACCCAACTTCCAAGAATGAAAGCTCGACATGATTTCTAACACTTCAAAACCATATTTCAGGTAGAACTACCACGACAAAGGGCCCCTTTTGATTTCCTCTGATACTATGATGCCATCCATTCTTTTGCCTGTATCACTGAGGGTAAAATATTTCTCTAAACGTTTTCAAATGAAATTCAAAATCAAATGTAATATGTGATATCGCTGCCAATAGTGGCATGAACCTATACTCACTAACTCATGACATTATTTGAAGGTCATGACATTATTAGTAGGTCTTGTCTCATGACGTTATTAGCAGGTCGTGTCTCATAACATTTATAGTCGGCAATGTTTCATGACATTATCAATAGGTCATGTCTCATGACATTAATAGTCGGTCATGTCTCATGACGTAATGAGTAGGTCATGTCTCATGACATTAATAGTCGGTCGTGTCTCATCAGTTGGACATGTCTCATGACGTTGTTAGTAGGTCATGTCTCATGACGTTATTAGTAAGTCATGTCTCATGACGTTATTAGTAGGTCATGTCTCATGACGTTATTAGTAGGTCATGTCTCATGACGTTGTTAGTAGGCCGTGCCTCATGACGTTATTAGTCGGTCATGTCTCACGACGTTATTAGTAAGTCGTGCCTCATGACGTTAGTAGGTCATGTCTCATGGCGTTATTAGTAGGTCATGTCTCATGACGTTGTTAGTAGGCCGTGCCTCATGACGTTATTAGTCGGTCATGTCTCACGACGTTATTAGTAAGTCGTGTCTCATGACGTTAGTAGGTCATGTCTCATGGCGTTATTAGTAGGTCATGTCTCACGACGTTATTAGTAGGTCCTGTCTCATGACGTTATTAGTCGGTCATGTCTCACGACGTTATTAGTAAGTCGTGTCTCATGACGTTAGTAGGTCATGTCTCATGACGTTGTTAGTAGGCCGTGCCTCATGACGTTATTAGTCGGTCATGTCTCACGACGTTATTAGTAAGTCGTGTCTCATGACGTTAGTAGGTCATGTCTCATGGCGTTATTAGTAGGTCATGTCTCACGACGTTATTAGTAGGTCCTGTCTCATGACGTTGTTAGTAGGTCGTGCCTCATGACGTTATCAGTAGGTCGTTTGTCTTGACATTATCATGTCTCAACATTGTAGATCATGTCTCTTGACATTAGTACGCCATGTGTCATGACTTTATTAGTAGGTCGTGCCCCATGACATAAACAGATCGTGTATAATGTTTCTCATGCCATTAGCGGGTCGTGTCTCATCATTGAAACTAGGTCCTCCCCATCACTGTATATAGTAAAGGTATGGGTAACTAATGAGTAGCGTTATCAAAGAACATGTCAGTATTGAACTGAACACGTCAACACCTTGATACAAAACATCAGCATATGCTTTAACCGGGTCAATAGAAACATATGTCCTTCTTAAAATGCTATCTCCAAATGTCTTTGTTTTATTGAATCTGTTTGAGAAGCAAATCAGTTTATGGTTCAACCACCTTACCTCATTTCCATAGGTCGTGCCCCATACACCATTTATACAGTCAGTAATACCCAACGGCAACAGAGGTGTACATTATCCCTTTAAAATATTGCCAAGATGTTTTCAGCATTTGATAGGTGGCCGCCATATTTAATCCCGTATGCCACCACAGGATTAGCCTGTTCATATTTGTTGTTCCATGGGTTTATTGAATCCCTGGCGTTACTTAGGACATATGTAAAAGGATTTCTTCCCATTCTCCCTGCTAACGGCGGGTACAATGTCTTCTGGGTGAGATCTCGTCAATAGAAGCACGGGACCGTTGAGGCACCTGAAGTTTGTGTGTGCAAACAGTGGACTGGGTTCATGATCCGTCGCCCTCGACGCCGAGTGTGGCTTTTCGGGCCTGACAACCCGGCGTTGCATAACAAACATATCACGAAAGAGGACCTAGCAATGTTTTTCAGTATTTTACTTTCGCTGTTGTGAAACTATTTCAATACTTTATTGGAAGGGTATTGTGCGTGTGACATAAGGATGTTAGTGGTGTTGGAAGCCAATGATTGATTGTTGAATGTGGAGCAGAAGCCGAGGTTTAATGGAACTGTGGTTTTGTCTCGTGTATCTGAATAGAGAGCACTTTACGGGGTCGGACAAAATGAAATAGGTCTTTCGTGGGTTATTGTGCTTTGAATGCATTAGGACCACATTTCGCTAGCTAATACTGAGCTTTAATTTATATACACAGTCGTCATACAACATACATGTACCCAATTCTTTGCAATGATGTAAATGTATGGTCAAGGAATTCGAATACATTATCGTCTCGTAACTGTTCTCCTATCAGCTTATAGCATGGCTTCGGATATATTCTACACATTACAGCTTATCGTGTTAACAACATATATTCATATATTCCATTGACATTAAGTTGTCAACCAACAACGATACACTGTGGGGGGGGGTGGGGGGGGGTGGGGGGGGGGGGGGGTGGGGGGTGGGGTGGGTGGGGTGGGGGGTGGGATATATAAACTATTTTTCACGAATTGTGTAACTTATTTTATGAAATATTTAAATTTAGAACACTTGGAAATAGTTTTTAAATTAATTTAGGACATAGATCGATTCGCTTTGATTCGGATAATTTTTAATAAATATTCAAAGTCAATGGAATAGGACACCTGATGTCTTCACTGATTTTCGGTGATCCATTCTTATACTTTTCACTACTTTTCACTACTACGCCGACTTTCACACCCAACGGAATCTGTTTCGGGAGACTTTTATTTAATCTCCGGAGTTAATGTTTCATGTAGAAACGGGATATAGAAACGGGCTCCGTCCGTCAATTCGTCCGTCCGTCCGTCCGTCCGTCCGTCACGTTTCGTTTTCGGAGCATTACTCAGAAACCGTTCAATATTTTTTCAGGAAACTTTGCAGGTCTGTCGAGTACATGCTGAACTGGTGCCTTTTGCTATTTAGAAATTTTTAAATTTTTATTTTTTTACGTTTCCATGGCAACAAGATGGACTTAGGTTCTGTGAGGGTAGGGTTCGTTTCCGGAGCATAACTCATAAACCGTTCAATATTTTTTCATGAAACTTTGCAGGTCTGTCAAGTACATGCTGAACTGGTGCCTTTTGTTATTTAGAAATTTGAGAAATTTATATTATTTACGTTT